TCCTCTCTTTGCTGTCTCTCAATCAAAGAGGTCCTAGCGATCGTAAGGTCACGGCCGACACGCGGCCGATGATCACGAGGCGACTGGTGGCGGGTTGAAGGTCGGACGCCTTCTCAATATTCAACAGCAAAGACTCTTGAACTGCACGGCTATGGGAGCTATTGGGGTTCCGCTGGCTTTCACATAGAGGCATTATAGACGGAGCTGTACTTGTATCATTAAAGCATACCCTTAAAGAACACACCGCAACTCAAACGCGCCAGCCGCACATCCGAGACGTCAATGTGCCCACCTACCTTGGCCGCCAAAGAGGGTTCAGAGATTGGCGCGGAATGCCCAAAGAATCCTAGAACCAAAGCATCATTATAATTATAATGCAAAGACGCAGTAAAGACAAGCCAGCAAGCCTTTCAAGAACCGGGATTCGGACTCCAAGTCCCCCGAAGCCACGGCGGCCTCGAAACCAAACCCTTGAACGCATCCCGAAAGCCGGCACCGTCTCAGAATGCTCTCTGGGCAGAGAAATCAAGGACCCCCAGACCCCAAAGCCTCCAGAACCTGCCGTCACCCGGGTCTCACACTCCTTGCACCACGAGGCAGCTTGCCTGCCCGAAGTCTAAATGGGGGAAGGGGTTGCACCGAATACCAAAACCTGCACCCGAAGCCTCATCAAAGCTTAGACCAACAGCACCCGAGCTGACCGAAGGCCAAGCAGCCCTAAACCCCACAGCTTAACAAAAAAATGTAACCCTCTGAGTGACAAAACCGAGGTCCCAAATCCACCAGGAGGCGCCAGGCCCTAGATCGTAAAGTTCGACTCATACACCCCTACAGTTGATGATATAAATCCTGCATTACCCTTGATAAGGAATACACCATAGTTCCCAGAGTTTAGGGTCCTTAAGGCAATGCAGGATTTGTATCATCAACAGTATCCCACCCATTGAGCCCTTTGCAATTTCCGGATCGGGGCAAAGAGCCTGCAGTGTTCGTGCACCCATCACACCATTTGATAGAAACAGTGATTTTTAGGGTTTTGGGGTTTAGGGGTTTAGGAAATGAACCGCCGACTTGCCTTGCCGTTTGCCCTTCTCAGTTGCAAGTTTTAAGTCCGTGTACATCTGTCTGCCTGTCGGTCGGTCTGCCTCTCTGTCTCTGCTACATATGTCTCTCCGCTCTTTTTGTTTCCACGCTTTCCAGAAAGGTCACAACGGAATCATCTCGGAACTTACGTCAAAGCGCGGATTCACCTGGACAGCCAAAATCAGAAGCCTTCGCCTTTTCTCGCGCTGTGCTTTGCCCATCTTGCCATGGCTCTGGACGGTGTTGGTGCGGTCTACTTGCCTGACTACGATGTCTCAAACTACTCACAAGTCCATCTTCACCTCAAACCATGGGCCCTGAGAACTTCAAACCCGGAAGCGCGAACAGCCTCACAAACCCGCGCTGAACCTGAAGACAGCAAGAACCGCTCCTTTCGAAATCATGCACGTTTACATGCGGCCCTGCATGTGTGCATACATGCATGCATGATGCATGGATGGATGGATGCGTGCACAGTTTGCATGTTTGTTCGTGTGAGTACATACTAACTGAACCTCTATGAACCGCATCCAACTGTGCAAGAGTCAGTCCCGGCCATGTCTGCGACCTCCCGAGGGGTCGCTGCCATCACGGTGCCCGGGAATCTCAGACTGCCGGGCCCCGGAAAATTGCTGTAGGCCACTGGAAGCTGTCGATTTGGGTTCGGTACTGGTGGGTCTATGGTTCGCATCCATGTGCAACCACACATAAATTGTCAAAATGCTGCATATGCCTATTCATGCTTCTGGTCTGGCAATCTTGGTAGCTGCATCACAGGTGCGGATATTCGCCTCAGAATATGGTGAGGACTGTGGGCCTGTATATGTTCAATAGGATCCGGGAATCGCTAAGCTCGCGAAAGAAGAAGGTTACACGCAAAATATGTTACCAATTCCCAGTATTGAAGGGGGAGTGGGGGGCTGTCGAAGTCATGCCTTGTATGAGGAGACAGGTTCGGTGGCTCAAACGACGCAGTCGGGACGCAAGTACATGCAGCATTCATGGCACCCAGCCAAAGGCCTCTCAGAATGGACACTAAGTTGATTGATGTGTTTTGGGTTTAGGGCTAGACGGGGCCATAAGGAACCCACACTTTTTGCACAGTTCTGCTTGATCGGTTGAGAATCCCCCGCACATACCACTGTTTCCTTGCATCCGGCCATTACCTTATCCCCGCAATTTAATGTTGAAATTTCCCTTATTCTTTGAGGGCCTCCGTAAACTACACTGGTATTTGTTCGGTTTTCTGCACTGCTTCACACTTTGGTCGTGTGCGTAGCTAAAGCCCCTTCTTGTTGCATCCGCTTCTGCCAAGCCCTGCGTCTAAGTAACACGTTTCTTCACCATAGTTAGAAGAGAGCATCCATGGCCCAACCATGATGACGTCAATGGTCTACTCCCTTCTGAGAAGAGAGCATCGATGCAACCATGATGACGTCCATGGTGTAATCAGGTCTGAGCAGGGAGCATCCATGCCCGAACCATGGGAGGAGACCCAACCATGATGACGTCCATGGTCTATTCCGTTCTGAGACGGCAGCATCCATGGCCCAACCATGATGAGGTCTGGTTTACATGGTCTAATCGGTTCCGAGAAGGTTAAACCTTCTTGGCCAAAATGGTTGGATGTTCTTGTTTTTTTGGCGCACTGCGGAAACAGAAAGGCGTCACATTTCTCAACACTGTTGGCGGTGACCCATGCGATGCACCTCATGTTTGCTGGTGGGGCCGTACTTTTTGCGGGTTGTTTGTGGACCCGCCAGGGTGTAGGGCCGTGGCAGTCAGGGCAAGGGTGAATACTTTACCGCATAATGCAACAAATGTACCTACAACCCAGCTCACAACTACATGGTGCATACCGCTACATACCCATCAGCCTTTGAGAAATAGCTAAAACCTATGCAACGCCAGTAAACTCCTCTGTAAGGACTCTTGCACAACCCGCGAAATCCAGCAAGGGTCCTTTCTGAAACCCTGACATGGCTGAGAGGCCCTTGGAGCCCTCGCTCTGCGACGGCTTCCGCGCACCGTCAATCGCTGCAGGCTACGTCGGCCCGAGCTTGTCTCGACACCGATAGGCTCGGAGTATCAAACTGGGCTCCTGTATGGATTCCCGTTTAAGCGTCCATGCTGGGCTAAATTTTGAACGCCCCCTTTCAAGGTTTAGGGTCTCTGCAGGAACACTCCGACGCCCCAAGACACAAAGGCTCAAGATGTAGGCCTTGGGGTTTAGGGGTGCCGGATTTGCCCGGCTCTAAACTTATGTCAGGCAGACGCCTCCAAACGTTGATCAGGAAGGAGGCAGGCTGATGTCTATATAAACTTATACACAAGTAAGCACATAATAGGAGATTATAATTAGTACATTATAGTAACTAAAGACCCAAAGGTTTCAAGGTAAGAGCTCGCCCTTCCAAGCTCCCGAGTTCCTCCCAGAGCCCTGAACTCTGTCTGGGCTTAGGCTAAGGGTTCAAGGTTTAGGTTCAGGCCTAAGTTTGGGTTTTCGTTTAGGGCCTAAGGTTCAGGGTTTTGGTCTTTAGGGCTCTGCAATCCTCGGGTTTACGAGGTTCTGCGGTGTTCAGGAAGTTTGAAGGGTTTTTGAGATGGTTGCAGTTTCCTGGCAACCGAAGGTATCAGCTGCGGAAGCCTTCTTGTAGCCTACGAATCTCGGAATTCCAGAGGCCCAGGCCAGCCGAACTACGAAGAGAAGCTGATTCCGAAAGGAGGTCCAACGAATGAATCCGATGCCATCCTAAACCCTAAGTCCCTAAGTATATGTATGGGCATGTGCATGTGTGTGTGTGCGCTATCTATCTATCCATCTGTCTGTCTGTCTGTCTGTCTGTCTGTCTGTCTATTGATCTATCTACTTATCTATTAATAATCATATGTGTGTACATACGTAAGGTACCTCCAAAGATCCACGCTTTTCTGCATATGTATGTGTGTATATATCATAAATATGCTTATGTTTATATGTGTGTCTGTATGTATGTATATATATATATAGAAAAAACTGCATCTATATATATATATATATCTATCTATGTATGTATGTATGTATGTACGTACGTACGTATGTACGTACGTACGTATGTATGTCTACGTATTTTTTGTATATACACATATAAACATATACATATACATATACATATACATATACATATACATATACATATACATATACATATACATATACATATACATACACATACACATATACATATACACATACATACACACAGACATATACACAAACATATACACAAACATATATATATACATATGACAAACATAAATAAATAAATATATATATATACACATACTGGCTTATGTCTACCTGGGATGTGTGCATTCGCACGGAATCAGCCTGCGGCCGTCGGAGTTGGTGCCGCAGGGGCACCCCCCAAAGACCCGCCGCGAGGGAACGTCGAAGAACACGGAGGCAAGGGAGGGGTTTGTGAAATGAACACTGAGGGTCTGACCCCAAAACCCAAAACCCAAATAAACCCTAAATAGTTAGTATAATCCTATCCCCTACAGAAGCCCTAAATCCTAAATGTTAGTATTATCAGAAGCCCTTAAAGGATCGTCAGGGCTGGGGTTCGGCTCAGTTCCCGGCAGGGGACCCTGCAAGTAGGAAGGCTCAAACATACGAGGTAAGCTCTGTGTCAGTTTGAAAACATGCAAGACACCGTGACACCCCTGAAGTGAAGAGTCTAAGTTGCACCCGGGTCGTGGAACACCCAAACACGAAACAACTCGGAAAGCCTCGAACGACACCGAAGGCTGCCTTGAGAACAAACTGGGCTCTTTCGGCATGCTCATCGGTACGGGAGTAAAGACTCAAAACCGCTCCCTTTGAATTTGGAATGCCGCTACAGCAGCGCTGCTGTGCATTTGTCAGCCCTGCGGCTTCATGTCGCCACGGCCCGGAACCTCCACAGAACACTCGAAACACATGCACAAAGCGAGGAGAAAACCGCAGCGGCCGGGCCGCTGTTGGTGTTCTTATGTGAAGACGAAAGCGTTGGAGCGGATGGCTTCATGTAAACGCACACTGAGCCGTGGGGATGCTGTATGTAATAGCAGCTTCTTCGAATGCCGGCCCTCCATGTGGAAAGCAATGGGAAAATGAAAAAAGCAACTGTAACAGGAGCCCCAAGCCTGAGTGAGCATAGAGTCTAGAGTCTAAACCCGCAGCCGTAAATCCGAGCCCTCAGAAGCCATCAATACCAAGGCCAGGCTACGCGTGGACGAACTCCTCGGGTGGCTGCGCACCAGAGATCTGCTGCGCCTTCCTTATGAAGACATGCTGTTTTTTTTCCGAGGTGTTTATGTTTCCAACTTCGAACTCCGGGTTTGCTGTGGGCATGTGTGTGTTCAAAGCAAGACCCTGCTCCCTGAATCCCAATCCCGGTTCCTTCAGAAATTGTGTGTTTATGCGACGATGAAAGGCACTCCTCTCGAAAGGTCGGGCACGAAGAGTTCAGCCTCTGCCCTTCTTGTCTTCCTGTTCTGGTTACGGTTCCTGCCGTGCCATGTCTTCTTCGCAACCCGACCTTCGTTTGGCTCTTGGGGTCCAGCGCTTCCTCAGCAGCCTGGGCCTGTGCCCTGAGGCTGAACCGACTGAAGCCCGTGCAAAGCGACACCAACGACACCAAGCCGTCTGCAACCAGGGCGCGAGGATCCATCTGCCCGAATCACGAAGTGAGGCACTCCGCGCACCTCGGATGCGGGACGCTCCGACTGAACGGTGGATTGGGCGGCTCTAGGTGCGCAGAAGGTAAGGCCGCATCCAGCGTGCTACTAGATCTGCATCCGGAATTGGCACCACTTTCCCCCGGCTCCCGAACAGTTAGCTCTACGTGGAAGGCTACCCAAGATTCTGAGTCTCCGCGCCGGGAGAACTGGACATCAGCATCCGGGTTGCTGCACATCGTAGCTAACCCTGATCCCCTAAACCCTAAACCCTAAACCGCCAAAACCCTAAAACCCTAAACCGCCAAAACCCTAAACCCCTAAACCCTAAACCCTAAACCTGAACCCTAAACCGAGAACGAAGACAGAGACCTCCCCGACCCAACTCTGTGGCACCAAAGGGCGCGAAGCTGCTGCCCGACCCTGAGCTCCTGAAAGCCAGTTCTGCGGCTCTTACCAGACTGGCTTAGGGTTTGGGGGCTTAGGGTTTAGGGGTTTAGGGTTTAGGGGTTTAGGGTTTAGGGAGTTGATGCTATAAATCCAGCATGGCCGGGTTTAGGGTTTTGGGGTTCTTGTTGAGGGATTTTGTCTTAAGTTACCATTATTTGGCCCTGTAGTAAATGATATGGTTTCTTTGTATGGTAACTTAAACCAAATCCCGTAACAAGAACCCAGCTTCTTGTCCCTTAGGGCTTTCATTGGGCACCCCGAACGCTCGGGGCCTTCCGACTTGTCTCCCCGAATTCCCTTAGAAGGACAGCTGAAGCGAATCGTCCGGGTCGGACAAGCCTGCAAAGCTGCTGAACTCCCTGAAGCCTAAACCCCTAAACCCTAAACCCCTTAAACCCCTAAACCTAAACCCTAAACCCCTTAAACCCTAAACCCTAAACCCCTAAACCCCTAAACCCCGAAACCCTAAACCCCTAAACCCCTAAACCATGAACTCCAAAATTCGCGACGGCTCCTCCTTCACCTCTGCTGCGGCCAGGGACTTGTCAGCGACCCTGGGCCCAGATTAGGGTGGAGGGATTTGCAGCTTCGCCTATTTTCTGAACGACTCGAAGGAAATTCACACTGCTTTAAATCTTCAGACCTCCATATTCGGGCTTAGGGCGCAGAGTTTAGGGTTTAGGCCTTTGCGGCATAGACCCCTAAACCCCCAAATCCTAAACCCCGAAAACCTTATCCCCTAAATCCCTAAACCTTAAACTCCTAAACCCTAAACCATGTCGGATTTCAGAGCCTCGGGGCGTGGGCATGGCATGTAAAATCGCGCGAAACCCGGAAGTGCGTCAGCTCTGCGGCTCCAGGGCTTCGCCTTCAACTTTGAGGGTTTCAGGGTTTGGGGTGCTAAGTTAGGGTTTAGGGTTTATAGGGTTTAGGGTGGTAATTTAGGGTTTAGGGTTTAGGGTTTAGGGTGGTAATTTAGGGTTTAGGGTTTAGCGTGGTAGTTTAGGGTTCAGGGTTTAGGGTTTAGGGTGGTAGTTTAGGGTTCAGGGTTTAGGGTTTAGGGTGGTAATTTAGGGTTTAGGGCTTGGGGTTCTGAACCGGAGACCGCCGAGGTGCAACTTGTCGCCATCCAGGCCCGCTGCCACCGCCGCCTGCGGATCACACCCTAGCAGCCACCTCAGGCTGCGGTAAGAGCTGGTTTTGTTTAAGTTCCACCTCTGGACAGTGTGGCATTGCTTGGCTCCATACTTGTCGGACCCTTTTCGGTGCATTCGGCCCGTTGAAGCAAACTGAGAAAAGCAGCAATCAAGGATCTGGGGCATAGATGTATCAATCTGGACTGTGCCTGTGACGACAATAAAAACCATCGATCTTTTCCGTTCTCCCCCACATCATCAGCAGCGTCATTAGCGGGGCATCGCCATGATCTTTTGCATCGTGAAGACCATCTTCAGTAGGAGCACGACGCTAAATCAACCCTAAACCCTAAACCCGCAAAAACATGGCAACATTGGTGCAGCCGCCTTCTTCAGCTCCTCCGGGTCGTTGGGCGCCTTCCTTAGGTCAAGCACAGGCCGTTTGCTTCGGGCCTTTCCCACGGCCAGAAACATAGGGGCCCCTGATAGCATACGGACGTGAGCATCCTGCAAACACTTGGAAAAAGAATGCAACGCAATCCTGAACCTGGCAGCCCTCAACATCCAACCCCTGCATCCTCCAGCCCTTATCGAACCTCAGAGGTAGGATGCTTAAATTTCCCACTCGTGAGGCCATGTCAGAAGGCTGGCGGAGTCGAAGCAAGGTTTCGGAATGCGGAGGTGTGTTTCAGCTTGAAGCTGTCGTGATTTGGGATTCTCGGGCTGACAGGGCTGTAGGGCTTTGGAGCGCTAGGGTTTAGGGTTTAGGCGTTCTGCGCCTGTCTAACAGAAACGAGCCACTGCCGCGTTATGTTGGCACTTGCTGTTATTATGCTGATTCTCAGCTTCATCGTCAAAAACTAATCATTTCACCATCATCACTGACATTGCAGGCGTGGTCCGTCCGACGTCAGCTGTTGCTGCACAGCAGCCACCACTGCAACCAACAGCAAGAAAACAGAAACAACGGCTGAGACGAATGCACTACGAATCCAGCCAAGCGACTCCTCTGCAAAGTAGGAGTGGAACAAGGCCTGCACCAGCAGCAGAAATGAGAGTTTTGGGGGAAGCTCAAGGTCCAGGGCAGATGTTGGATTCTCGGCGACTCGGGTTCAGCGCTTGGGGTTCTATGAAGCACTGAGGCCAAGCCCGCACGCTGGGTCCCATCCGTCACTCTAGGCCCCCTGAAGCAACGGTTCAAGGCTCCCACCTCAGCTGCCTTGTCCTGGGCAGCAGCCCCACCCTGCCTCAAAGAGAAAGCTGCTTGGGTTGTGGATCCAGTGGCGTCTTAAGGCTCAGGTGCAGGGTTTACATCGGGCCGAACCAGATACAAGGGTGGAAAGCCATGCGGGCTGCGCACCAACAGGTGTAGACGTGATACAAGACATAGTGGTGGTCACGATGATGATAATCGCAGTGAAGGATGATGATGATCATCGTCATGAACATGATCATGATCATGATGATGATGACGGTGATGATGGTAACGTTGATGATGATGATGATGGTGATGATGATCATGATCATGATCATGATCATGATCATGATCATGATCATGATCATGATGATCAGAACGATGGCCACAATGATTGGTGATGGTGATGGTTCAGTGATGGTTGTGACAATGCTTGTAAATGCCAATGGCAAGAGCGGGAACAAAGAATGATGCTCTTGATCATCGAGGAGGAGGGGGAGGAGGCTGATAACGATGGTCATGATGATCATGATGATGACCACGATGACGACCGCGATGATGACGACGGCGATGATGGCGATGATGAGGATGATGATCATCATCATCATCATGATAATGATGTGATGATGACGATGATGCTGCGGATGGCGCTGGTGAAGATGAGAGCGCAATCACAACCTCTTCAGGCTGCAAACAATGTGGAACAAACGGTCAGCATTGTTGAAGCTTGATTCGAGATGCAAATAGACAACTCCATCGCGACGGTCTCTAAGACGCAGACTTCTCATCACGACCATCACCAGCAGCATCACCTTCATCTTTCAGTGTCATCATCGCCAACACCGACACAGCCTTTATCGTCGCCATCAACCATCATGATCATGGTCATGATGTTGATCATCATCATCATCATCATCATCGTCATCGTCATCGTCACCGTCATCATCATCACGGTCCTGGTCACCATCACCACTGTCATGGTCTTCGTTGTCACGACCAGCGGCCGGTAGGCTTCGGTGAGGACTCGGTGCGCATCGAAGGTGCTGCTCACCTGAGCTCGGGGGTGTGCTTGGCCTGGCCCTGACGTTTACTGGTGGAGCCGGGGTTAGGGTTTAGGGTTTAGGCTTAAACTTTAGGGGCTTAGGGTTTAAGGGTTTTAGGGCTTTGGGGGTTTAGGCTTTAGGTTTTAGGGGTTTAGGGTCTAAGGGTTTAGTTTAGGCTTTAGGGTTTAGGGGAGTCGGGGTCACTGACAACCAAAATGGCGGCGATGCTAAAAAGCGCGGCCCCCGTGCGCTCCGAAATCTTTAGCTGGGCTTCGGTTCCTGGACACCCTGCGGCTCTAGCCTAAACCCTAAACCCGAAACCCTAAACCCTAAATCCGAAACCCTAAACCCTAAACCCTAAACCCAATGTGCAGCCCAGAGGCCAAGCCCTTCTCCGTGAAGGCATAGGGCAGTCCCACTGCATCGAACTTGCCTTTGACTATGGCAGGCTCAGCGGTGTTTGACGCACTTCAAAGGATCTAGGCTGAGATGCATCATCTACCAAACCTTTCATTGTGCGGGCGGATGACCGATGAGTGAGTTCTATCGATGAAGGAGTTCTGTCATGCGGGCCAAAAATTAGACAGCCAACGGAGGGCTTGCTGTGATACTGCATCGCAGGAGGCAATTTGCAACATGATATGACCTTGTTGATGTGACGTCTGCAGCATGTGCGATGCGGCAGCAGACTGCTCTGATGATCAAGCATGGCAGCTCTTCACAGCATTACGACAACAGGCCATAGCTACATTACAGCAAAACATGACTGTTTATGTACAGAGCATGCTCTGCATAACTGTCCCCATCCACCGCATCACTACGGTTGATGATATAAATCCTGCATTGCCCATAATAAGGAATATACCATAATTCCCATAGTTTAGGGTCCTTAAGGTAATTCTACTAGGATTTATATCATCAACAGCTACCATTCCTAATACTGACTACTGAATACTGCTGCTGTTTGGGAGGAAGGCCGGGCCTTTCATCCAGTCGCCCATCTGCTTCACTTCTTCCTGCAGGGTTTAGGGGTTTAGGATGGTTTAGAGTGGTTTAGGGTTTAGGGGTTTAGGGGTTTAGGGTTTAGGGGTTTAGGATGGTTTAGGGTGGTTTAGGGTTTAGGGGTTTAGGGGTTTAGGGAGGGTTTAGGGTTTAGAGCAAGACTCGGGAACATCTCTCTTCGGGTCGGAAGCTCGAACCAATCATAACTGTCGTCGGCGTTTCGGAACTTGAAGATCTTCTCGAGCAGCGTCAGCTCAAGAGCCAGAAGTCGAATTCGGAATGCTAGTTCATGGAATTGTTGCCATGTTGTTGCTACCTCGGCCAGTGCTCAAATTGTCACCTAAAGCTTCTAAGATGTGTGCTCGAAGCCTTGCTCTTGCCGAACTTGTCCGCATAGGCCTGCATCCTTGGACGAGTCGAGCTCGATACTTGTTGGAGACTTGTTGCATGAAAGAAAATCTGGCGCCACCCAACAACCCCAGCATCTGCATCTCGACGACCTGAATGTGATCCCAGAAAGATTCAATCACAACATCCACACACAGGCCTTTCAGTCACCTGCCAAGCAGCTGAGCAGCTGCGCGTATACCGGAGGAGCAGTCGAATTCAGGGTGCAAGGGTCACGGGCTCAGGGATGCTGAGGGTGACGTCTCCGCCGCATCCATCAAACCGCCTGCTCGCATCTAAGCTAGCCGGGACCCCGATGCCTTGAATCCCTCGGCCCATTCCTTAAAAGCAAATGCAGCTGCGAGTCTTGCTGGACGGCTTGTCGGATGCTTGGGGATTCAGCTGATATGGCAGCCAGCGCACTTCAAAGTCGACGTCAGAGAACCTCGCAGAGCGGAGACAGGTCGTTATGAGCCAGAAACAATACGAACGGACAAGAATCGGCGGTTACCCGTGCAGCGAGCTCGTCGTAAGTGGAAGCGTTTGCTTGTCTGCTCTTTATTGTCTTCAGCCCGGATGAACAGGACCTCACATGGACGGCAGCCTCAAGAATAGCCTGGAAAACGCCAAGCAAACACAAGGAAGCTTCCAGTGAGCCCGCTTTCCTTTGGAGAGGCAGCGTTGCTTTCACATGGCTATTACTCTTTGCTAGCATCCTTCTCTCTGATACTGAGTGCTGTCCTACGGTTGATATCATATAAATCCTGCATTACCCATAATAAGGAATATACAACAATTCCCATAGCTTAGGGTCCTTAAGGTAATGCTGAGGACCTAGGATTTCTATCACCGAAACAGTACCACCCTCAGTGGCCCAGGCCCGGTGGCCCGGGCCCAGAGGGCTCTTTCCAGGGCCAAGGCTCTGCTTCATGGCTCCCTCCAGATTGCGCTTCCCGATCCAGCAGAAGGGTCAGACGACGTCGCTGATCACGTCGACCATGACCTGAGGGGGGAGGGGGGGAGGGGGGGAGGGGGGGACGGGGGGGAGGGGTGGGAGGGGGGAGGGGGGGGAGAAGGGGCGAAAGTAGGGCAGGCGGGGGATTTTGGTGCTCCCCTCCCACAAACAGCCCAAAT